GCCCCCCGCCCCGGCCCGCCGCCCTGGCAGCTCCCGGGACCCGAGATTCTCCTGGCCCCGCCCCAAGCCCCTCGGGCCCCGCCTTCCTCGGACTCTCCCAGCTTCCGCCCGGTCTCCAGGCAACCCCGCCATGGCGCCCGAGGAGACCTTTGGGTCCGAGCGCCTGCTATGGAGTTTCGAGCGCCGCTTCCTGGCGGCGCGCGCGCTGCGCTCCTTCCCCTGGCAGGTGGGTGGCGGGGCGTGCGGCGTCCGCGCTGCGGTGGGGACGCGGCGGGCTCCGGCTCAAGCTCTGGTCTCGTCCCACGTGGCTGCCTCGGCTCCTGCCTGTTAGACCAGGTCGGGTCTTCTTCCCGCGGGACTGCGGAGGCACCTCCACGCGCGCGGCAGGGCGGCCAGCGCCCCGCTCGCTGCTCCCCTGGGCTCCCGCGAGCAGGTTTGCTCCCAGTGCTTTTTTTCAGTCGGGTTCCAGGGTCGTGGACAGCTCGCGGTCGTTTCCATGGCTTTTGTTCTTAAGCCAGTGAGCATCCTGGTCATTGGGAAGCCGCTGCACTTGCCCGTTCTAAAATGTCAGCGTCCTCTGGAGCGCAGTGACCAGGCCAGAGGGCCTCAGGGCGCCCAGGGCTGTGTCAGGCACTAGACAGGAGCAGCCTTCCCTCCCCTGGGACCTGCTGTTCCCGGCACAGGCAAACGGTCAGGCAACAGCTTCTTTTCTGCCAAGAGGGGCTTAATGGACCCTGCCTCATTAATTCATGTGCAGTGAGCTCACTGGGATTAGTCACTTTGGAGACCTATTCCTCCCCGGGTCTGCCCCATCTTACAGGGCGGTGATTAGTCATTTGTGTTATTTCATTGACATGAAGCATTTAGCACTCCGATCAGTTCCAGTCAGGAGAAATAGGCATTTTTTAACATGAAATTAAAGCCTTCATAATAGCATCCATAGGTCGATGGTAATTGTTCATGTGCCTGAGCTAAATGCTTGCTCACGCTGACCCACAATACACTTGCAGTGGATGCTATTATCATTCACGTTTGTCCAGAGAGGTTATTTGATAAGGAAAGAAGTAGGGTGCAATGGTTAAGAGCTTAGACCCCAGAGAGCCTGCCTGCCTGGCCCAGTCCTCTGCTGTGTGACCTTAGGCAAGTGTCTGTACCTCTCAGTGCAGTGTTTTTATAGTAAAATGGAGGAGAGAATGATACTTACCTTGGAGGGCTGCTGTCCCGATATGTTGAGTGCTGAAGCCCTTCAATCACTGCCTGGCTCATGGTAAATGCATGGAAGTGTTAGCCAGTGTTTTTCTTGTTCCCAAATGTTTACTGAGTGCTTACCACGGACCAGGGAGCAGCAGTACACAGGACAGATGAGGCCCTGCTTGGATAAGAACCAGAGAATAAACAAACGAATAAACAAAACTCCAAAGTGGCTGTAAAGCTACTAAAACACAGAAATGGAGAATGGAGCAACCAGGGACATTCTCACCCAAGTAGGGGAGTTGGGAAGGCCTCCCCAGAGAGACACACTTCACCTGTGACCAGACGCTGAAGCAGCAGTCATGGGAGGGTCCTGGGGAATGGGATGTGCAAAGGCCCTGTGGTAGGAGCAGTTCGGAAATTGAGGACCAGCAGAGGGTGTAGGGTGCAGGGCTGGGTCAGGCAGGAGGAGATGGGGCCAGAGAGGGGCTGCCCTAGGCTTTCGAGTGCCTGTAGGATGAGGAGCTCTGAGGAACAAAGTGACCGGCTCACATTGCAGCCGAGCTGTCGGCCTGCCCAAGCTCCCCGAGGAGCAGATAAGGTAACGGGCCTGGTGCGTGCACATCTGTAGTTCCCTTTTAACTCTGAGCCCATGGCGCTGTGGCTCCCTGCTAAGTCCTGGCTGACCAGTTCAGCCCAGAGCTGGTCTGTGACCCAGGTAGTACCTAAGCAGCCAGGGCTACTGGGAACCAATCGTCCATCTCTGGATGGTCTTCCTGCGGCCCACCCGAGTGTGACCCATGACATCTGAAGGTCGGGCTTCCACTTCGATTGGCCCCAGGTCCTGGGGCGAAATCACTTAGCACTTTGCCACCATGTTCTAGTGCATATTTCATGTTCCTGGGAAAAGGCCCTTGAGATTTCTCTCTCCCTCCAAATAGAACCTCGAAGAGGAATTAAGGGACTCCTCAGATTCAGAGCTGCTGCTAGATATTTTGCAGAAGGTAAGACTCCCCAAATCACTGGGACGCATACCTGGGCCGCCTAATTGGCCGGTGAAGACCTGACAGGGAGGGGCCAAGGGTGCATGTCTATCCTTTAAGCACATCCGTGTTCAAAGAACGAAGCTTTCCAGTCAGCACCGCAGGTGGGTGTCAGCACCGCAGCTCCAGCTCTTGTTTTCTTAGATGAAGACATCAGAATATACGAAATTCCAGAGCGCAGGGATCTGGGGAATGTGTTTTAACCATCCACAGCAAAAACCGAGATGACAGGTGCCAAACCGCTTCCAGCATGTGCTAGCAGCTCAGAGACTTCCTTCTTTTATTTATGGACAATGCGGGAGGCCCGTCCTGCCCACTCACGTCTTTGTAGACACAGGTGGGCGCTTGCTTCAGGGAGGTCCATCTGCGTGCAGATGGGTTAGAGGCAGGACCACTGCCCAGCCCCACTGCGAGGGCTAGCAGCAGGACCACTGCCCGGCCCGGCCTCACTCTGACCCCACCTGGCCATGCAGATCAAGAGCAGCTCTCACCACCTCCTGGCTCTTAACCTTCATGACTGGCATGAGGCCATCTGAAAAGCCAAAGCTATGGACTCTCTCCCCAAAAAGCACCAGAATCAGGGAGGCTTGGACGTCTTCCTGCCCCCAACCACCAAGCCCATGCAAGGAGCCTGTTGAACTCTCATGCCGGGCAGTGACCAGGACTGCCTGCTGGGTAAGAGCCGCAGAGCCAGGGAGCGGCAGGGCAGCCCGGCAGTTCCATGCCGTAGGCTGGTGACCGTTCTTGCACACCCTAGCCGACAGCAGCTCCTGGGAAGGAACTTGGCAGGGCCATTGTGTCCAGACTGGACAGCAGAAGCACTGCTGTGGGCTGTGGCCTGTGGTGGGAGCAATTTCAGGAAAGGGCTTGTCAGGACATGTGAGGGACACCTGGGGCCAGAACCCTTTGCCGAAGGACTGGGTTACTCTTGGTCTGCCCTGGATTTGCTGGAGCCTGATACTCTCCAGATGCCTAAGAGGGATCTCTCTAGCCACCGTCTGTCCTTTGTCACAGACAGTGAGACATCCTCTGTGTGCGCAGCACCCACCGTCAGCGAAGTATGCCCGGGCCTTCCTCTCGGAACTCATCAAAAAGGTCAGTGATGGGTGACGTCCCTGTGGAGCCCAGTTGGTGTGTGGGGCCTGGCTCTCCAGAGGGACTCCCCGCCAGACCCTGAGACTCAGGTCCTTCCGTGCTGTCGGTCTGCTGTGCGCCCACTGCAAGGCAGGGGTGTGAGAGGACCAGGGCTCACCCCCTCTGCTTCCCGATGGCTCCAGCGCAGCTGCTCCCATCCCCTCCCACCGTGCAGGTCTCCTTCCTGCCAGGCAGCCAGCCCCTGAGTTCAGGAACCCCCACAGGTTCTGGCACTTTCCTGCCCTTGCCAGTCCCTGGGTTGTCCCTCCCCTGTAGGGCATTTTGGTTCTCACTGGATCCTTGCATTAAGTTCTCCCCTTTGACCTACCCACCTGGGCTCTTCCTGACCCACACAGGCTAGGCCTTAATGATGAGCCAAAACCAGCCTGCTCTGACAGTAGCCAGGTCATCAAAGGTGACCCCGCAGACCTGCTGTGGCCGGCCACACCTCACCCAGGCTGAGAGCTGAACATGCCAGTAAAGCCCTGCGTCCCTGTCACCCCAGCCCAGTTGTCAGTGTGGTGCTGGAGTCACAGCAGATCTGCCCAGCACCAGCAGGGGTGTTGCTGGCCACCACATGAGCTCTGCAGTCGCCCAACGAGCGCAGGACGGGTGACCATAGAGAGGCTCCAGGTGGCCTGAGAAGTCATCCCACCCTAGATCTCCCTCCAGGTTTGGTGAGCACCATCCAGCAGGTCTATAGTCGGAGCAAAGGCAGGCAGGCAGGCAGGATCTGGTTTACCTGACGGGGCGCGCTCCCCGCCCCCGCCAAAACCAGCCTGCTCTGACAGTAGCCAGGTCATCAAAGGTGACCCCGCAGACCTGCTGTGGCCGGCCACACCTCACCCAGGCTGAGAGCTGAACATGCCAGTAAAGCCCTGCGTCCCTGTCACCCCAGCCCAGTTGTCAGTGTGGTGCTGGAGTCACAGCAGATCTGCCCAGCACCAGCAGGGGTGTTGCTGGCCACCACATGAGCTCTGCAGTCGCCCAACGAGCGCAGGACGGGTGACCATAGAGAGGCTCCAGGTGGCCTGAGAAGTCATCCCACCCTAGATCTCCCTCCAGGTTTGGTGAGCACCATCCAGCAGGTCTATAGTCGGAGCAAAGGCAGGCAGGCAGGCAGGATCTGTTTTACCTGACGGCTCGTCTGCCCGCCCCCAGCACGAGGCCACCCACACGGAGCCTTTGGACGAGCTGTATGAGGCGCTGGCAGAGGTCCTGACTGCCGAGGAGTCCGCCCAGTGCCACCGGAGCTATTTGCTGGTACGAGACATGCACCCTCCTCCCCCACAGGCCGGACACCTGTCCTCCACAGCACTCATACAGGCCCCCGCCGGCCTCCCGTGGGGTCACACCCTGGGCCTTCAGTACTGCGGTCTTAGATGGGGTCACTTAAACTCCCTTAGCCCCAGGCTCCTCGTCTGTGGCCCAAGCACTTTGACCAACAGTATCCCTATCCTTTAGGGTCACTGGACGTTAAATTGGATGATACACGTTTCTTGCTTTAGCAAGGCCCAGCGCCCAGTCCTCAGTGTATCTTGATAGACGGACAGATGGTCTCTTCTCACGCCCCACTGAACAATGCCTGGTCTTCCAGCTTCTTGTCCTACACAAATCTGTTCTGCACACAGTGGCCGGGGAGCTTGTCTTCGGTTCGTTCATTCGAACCTGTTGCTATAAAATAAAACACAGGTAGAGAGAGCCATTAAATGGTCACAAGGCAGCTGTCATGGCAACCATCACCGCCAGGCCCAGCACTGGCGGCCAGCCCACGAGGCCCTCACCTTAACCCCTCTCGATCCAGCACAAGTAGCTACCATTCTGCCTTTGAGAGTGCTCACATCCTTGCTTTGCTTTGTGGTTTCCTCCCTCCACGTGCACCCCCAGACCTGGGCATGTCATCTTGCTTGTTAGCCAGCATGACGGAAGCCCCCATCCAGCACCTGTTCTGACCACGCCTCTGTTCACCAGCTCCGGCAGCACGGCCTGCAGAGCTCCCCACAGGCTGGGTTTGGGTGCATCCTCATGGTGCCGTTCAGCTTGCTCGTCTGTCCTGTTTGCAGATTATCAGCCGATTCAGAGGCTTTCTCAGGCCCACGGCCTTTGATCCCTTCGGCAGAAACACAATACAGGGTTCTGATGGCACACGGTGTCCGTGGACAGGCCTGTAACGGGAGCAGCTGTAGATGCTCAAAGTTAGATGGGTGAATTCGTGGGGGCTTTAAAAGGGAGGGGTTGCAGAATGATCCCATCCTTCAGCTTTCATGGTGGGCCCAGCGGCCTTACAGGAGCTGCTGCCTCCCTCCTCTGGCTGCCCAGTGGAACAGCTCACATAGGAAAGGTGGGAGGAAGCCTCAAGTCTTTCTTCCCTTTTCTCAGTTTCCAAGAGAAGTGAGCTGGTGTCCTATCATTCCCCAAAGGATGGTGTCCTTTGCAATAGTGTTCTCGTGGGACTTCTGAATGTGCTACTTGGGGCCACTTAGGCAGGCTACTGAATCCTTGTATCACCGCCCTGCTGGTTTTCTTGCTTTATTTTATGGCAAACTTTCCAGACTCGTCTTTGTATATTCCCTGCCCCAGACCTGGAATCAGCCATTTCTTCAAGAGGCCCTGGATCCTTTCAGTGGGAGACGATATTCGGAGAGCACAGGTGGAACCTCAGGGAGACTTGTGGCTCTGTGCAGGCCTTCCAGGGAAGAGCTGGGATCTGGGTGTTGACCCACAGACTGCTTAGTAAGATACGATACAGGTTCATACTGATCTTTGTAACTCAGAACCAGAACAGGGGCGTTTACTCCACCTCTTCACCTTGTACTCATGTCTCCTTTCATCTCACTGAACACCCTGGCTCTCAGGGCAGAGGGCATGATGGCGTTAGGACACCCTGGAGCTGCCTACCTGCCTCATCCCATGTGACTGATACAGCCTTCTCTGAACAGTGGTGCTAATCCTACCCACCAATTAGGTAAAAAAAAAAAAAAAAAAAAAAAAAAAAACCTTCATATGTGTTGAGGCCAGCAAGTGGCATGATGGTGAAGGCAGCTGGATGATCCCACATGGCCAGTGGCACAGTTCGAGTCCTGGGCCTGACTGCTTGAAAAACATGCTGGCGAGTGCACATGCTTTATGGCAAATTAGAAACAAAATCTGGGGGCCAGCAGGTGGCATGGGGGTTAAGGCACTGGACTCCCACGTTTCTAGTCCAGACCTGGCAGCTTACTTTCTCACTTTCCCTCTGTCTCTATCTTTCTCTGATGAACACACGTGCCCTATAGCAATTAGAAAAAAAAGAAGGGACCAGCAGATGGCATAATGTTTACATCACTGGACTCCCACCTAGCTGGCCATGATTCAAGTCCCAGACCTGGAGGCTTAAAGCTCGCACCGGGTGCATGTGTGTGCATGCCCAAGGTCCTAAGAGGAGAATGGAGGAGACAGGATTGCAGTGTGGCCATCCTCCCTGGGGTGATTTCTCACCTCCTGTCTCTGTCTCTCTCTCAAACGAGCACATGGACCCTATAGCAAAAATCTTTATTAAAAAAATAAATAATTATTATTTAAAACAGAAAGTTATGTGTGCACTCTATAGCAAAAATCTCTTTAAAAATAATAATTCATTTTTTAAAAAAGAAAATTTACATGTACTATTCCCATTCTCCCTCATTTGATTTTTTTTTTTAATAGGGCATTTGTGCTTGCTGGGAAGAGACAGAAAAAGTGAGAAGTCCCTGGGGGAATGGCCGCATGACAATCCCTTCTCCATTCGCCTCTTGAGATTTAAGGCACGCGCGTGCACGCACACACACACACACACACACACACACACGTTCCTGCACGCTTTTCAAGGTGGCAGGTCCAGTACTCGGACACACCGGTGACCCTGTGGGACCCCGCACTCGCAGGCGGCACTGCAGTGAACTCATCTCCCTGTGCGTGTAGTCACCATACCTACACTGTCCTCGTGCGCCCTCACGCAGTGCTCACTCCCTGCTGCCGTCAGGGCAAGTCCCCACACTGTCTCAACCCAGCCGCTGATAGCAGCACCGAGCCAGATGCGGGGCTCAGCTGCTTCCTCCTCTTGTAGTCTCAGGCCAGCCTCAGGGTGTCGCCAGGCCCCAGGGGCTGCGGTGTTTCCACGTGTGGCCACGAGGCCAGAGAGCTGTGACTTGGTGTTAATAACTGTAGGTTCGGAACCAGCAGGTGGTGTGGTGGTGAAGGTGCTGGACTCCCACCTGGCCAACTGCAGTGTGAGTCCTGGACTCGGCTGCTCGAAAAGTCACGCTGGGCACAGGTGTGTACATGCCCAACATCCCGAGAGGAAAAGGGATTGCAGCATGGCCATCCCCCCGAGGGGTGATTTCTCGCTTTCCATCTCACCGTCTCTCCAGCGAATATACACTTTCTACGGCAAATAAATAACCCACTAACTGCAGGTTCTTAGGAAGCACAGGGACAGCACAGAGGGCTGCACCCACCCACCCAGTCCCCGCATGGCCTCCGGCAGGGCTCACTCAGCTTCCCCGTCCCGCATGGCCTCTAGCAGGGCTCACTGGCTTCCCCGTCCCCACATGGCCTCTGGCAGGGCTCACAGCTTCCCAGTCCCAGCATGGCCTCCAGCAGGGCTCACAGCTTCCCATCCCGCATGGCCTCCGGCAGGGCTCACGCAGCCTCCCAGCCAGACACCAGCATCTGCCCATGGTGGGGGGATGACCTGCATCGTGTGGTCACATGTGTAGTCCGTGTCATCGGCACCATGGTCAAGACAGATAGTCCCCAGATTTCCCTGTGCCACTACCCCAGCCCACCACTGGCCCCCGCCCTGCTGACCTGCCCTACGTCTCTAAAACCCTGTCGTTCCGGGGCTGCTACGTAAGCCTCACGTGGGCACAGCACAGACCCGGACCTGGCTCCTTTCACCTGGCATCACGCGGGACCCATCCTGGCGGTCGCGTGTCCACAGCGTATTCCCTTCATTTCTGATAGGACCGCATGCGGTGGGTGTGCCCGTCTGCCTAGCCCTCCCCTGTGGTCCCTGCCCTCTGGCAGCTGGGCTGACTCTCGCCCCATCTTGGCAGCCTTCAGGAGACTCGGTCACGCTCTCTGAAAGCACAGCCATCGTTTCCCACGGCACCACGGGCCTGGTCACCTGGGATGCCGCCCTCTACCTCGCAGAGTGGGCCCTGGAGAACCCGGCAGCCTTCACTCACAGGTGACGGGGGTGCAGGGCAGGGCGCCGGGCCGGTTTGCCTGGCCCACCTGGACACAGCCCCACCCCCGCCCCCAGGACCGTCCTGGAGCTCGGCAGCGGAGCTGGCCTCACGGGCCTGGCCATCTGTAAGACGTGCCGACCCAGAGCCTACGTCTTCAGCGACTGCCACGGCCGTGTCCTCCAGCAGCTCCGAGGGAACATCCTCCTCAACGGCTTCTCCTTACAGCCCGACGTCACTGCTGACTCGGAGCGCCCCGTGGTGACGGTGGCCCAGCTGGACTGGGACGTGGCGACGGTCCCGCAGCTCTCTGCCCTCCAGCCGGACGTCGTCATCGCAGCAGGTAATGCCCGGCCCCGTAGACGAGCAGATGGCTCCCTGCAGCTCTGCACGCACCAGCTCGGGGAAAGGGAGCGCTGGACGCGGCAGGGACGGGAAGGGTGGGGCCCCCGGGATGGCCAAGAAGCACGGTGTTCCTCTCAGGTGCGCTGGGCCAGGCCTGCTGCTGTTCTGCTCTATCAGACAAGGGAGTGCTCACAGCAAGGGGAACGGAACAGGCCTCAGGGCAGGCCCCAGGGCACCCACCCAGCCTGGCCCGTCTGGCAGGCAAATGCCAGTCCCCTCCCCAGCAGCCTGAGGGCAGCGGCTCAGTTGCCATCCAGGACCTAACATAAAAACCAGAGCAGCCAGCAAGGCGGCAGCCGCAGCAGCCCGCCTCTGCCACCAAGACACAGGTGTCACCACGAGGTGTCCAGTGAGGCCCCAGGCCTGCAGGTGTCAGCCAGAAAGAGCTACAGAACCCCCTGACCTTCCCGGGGCCACACAACAGCTCAAACCAGCAGGACGCGGGACACCCGCTACAGGATCCAGTTCTTCCCTGAGCACCTTCCAGGCAGGAGGAGGGCTGGCCGTCCTCGAGCTCCGTGAACGCGGCCACGCCACCTCAGCCACGGCGCTCACAGCTCAGTGTTTGCCTCTCGCCGAGCAGCATCCTTTCTCCCCAGGGGGCAAATCCAGCCCAGCCCTGCATCCCTGTCCCACTGCCGAGGTCAGCACGGCCTGGTCCTCACCGGGCACAACCCTAACCTGCCTCTCACCACAGACGTGCTGTACTGCCCGGATGCCATCCTGTCCCTGGTCGGGGTCCTGCAGAGGCTGGCCGCGTGCCAGAAGGACCGGAAGGACCGGCAGGCCCCTGACGCCTTCATCGCTTACACTGTTCGCAACCCAGAGACCTGCCAGCTGTTCACCACCGAGCTAGGTGAGCCCTGGTCGACCCGGCCGGCCCCAGGACCCTGCCAGGCAGAGCTAGGTGAGCCCAGGCCAACCCCGCCAGCCCCGGGACCCTGCCAGGCAGAGCTAGGTGAGCCCCGGGCGACCCTGCCGACCCCGGGACCCTGCCAGGCAGAGCTAGGTGAGCCCAGGCCAACCCCGCCAGCCCCGGGACCCTGCCAGGCAGAGATCAGAAAAGAGAAAGAACAGGGCCCTGGAGGAAGCTAGCAAGCCCCACGCCCACACCTGGGCAGTGACTGGGCAGCCTGCCCAGGAGAGGCAGAGCCCTTGGTGCAGGGGAGCCGAGGTTCCGGCCCACATGGCAGCAAGGGCCCACGCTGGGGCTGGATCCCTGCCCACTACACGACTGGAGCTGGGTCCCTGGGTGTCAGTCCTCATGGGAACGCCACTTCAGGGGTGAGGCCTGTCACACACCTAGGACAGTGGCTGCGGGGGGTGCTTGGAGATGGGGACAGCCTTTGAGCACCTGGTAAGATCGGGGCAACTTCACTGCACCACTGTGGGCTGGGACACTGGCCTGACACTCGTCAGCGCCCCCACACCTGGGAGGGAGGGGTGCACCGTCATCCCGTCTAACCCACAAAGACACTGAGGCACAGGAGGCCATGACCCGCCCCCACAGACAGCAGCAAGGCCTAGCACCCTACCCCCAAAACACCTCTCCACACCCACAGCCTGCCGGGCCCAGCAGGGCTTTCCATGCCCATCCTGGAAACTGCGCTGAGCCCCTCCCGGCAGCTGTCTGCCAGCAGAGACCCCAAACGCCTATCCACATGGGCCCCCCGTTAACTACGGAGCAAGCAAAGGGGCATTCGCGGGACTGCTGGCCAGCACTAGCAGTCTTAGAAAGAACGAGGTCCTTTAGACACCAGGAAAAAAGCCTACGACGAGTTTTAGATGAAGACAGCAAAGTGCCAAACAGCATGCTAACCAGAAAGTGGCCACATACTGTCACTTCCTGACAACAGGTACCTCGAAGGCCGCACGGACCACAGCTGCCCTTGGGCAGGACGGGGCTGCACCTTGTCTGCACCCCCTCATTCTGCTCAATCCTAACTGCGCTCAGAGAGGCTGGCTAAGACCCCCAAGGCAAAAGCTCTGCAGACGCCTGTGCTCACGAGGCCCACGAGCCCCGCAACCTCTGTGGGGGTGCTGACCACACAACCATGCACGCTCCTCCCAGGCCGTGCCTGACAGGGAACCCCGCAGGGCTCAAGGGGAGACACAGCAAAGTGTGGCTTTGGTCCCTGCTGTCTGAAACCAGATTCCTGGTTGTACGTGGGGGCTGATTCCAGGTCTCAGGAGATCTGGAAATCTGTGAACCAAACCAACCCCATGAACATGCCCCCAGGCCTGTCCTAGCGGCCTCCCACTGAGACCTGGGGTGGCCTCCAGACACCACCGTTCTGAGACGCCTGTGCTTTGCCACCAGGGCGGGCCGGGATCCAGTGGCACACGGTTCCTCCTCACGACCAGAAGCTGTTTCCTTACGACGGGCACTCAGAGATGGCCATCCTCAAACTCACGCTGTAGGTTTCAGTGTTTCTGAAGGTTGCCATGAGAAGGAATCGAATTGTGTGGAGACTGAGGACCAGGCGTGGAGGCAGCACTCTGCAATGCCGTGGCCGTAGGGAGACCAGGGCTGGGCTCCAAGTGACCTGCACCTGCCCATGGTCTGGCCGGCTGGGAGAGCTGGGGAGGGCCGTGGCATGAGACCGGGTTGAGGGTGCTTCCCTCTCTTGTGAAAGAAATCAACTTTTAAAAATAACTTTCATTGATTAGGGCTAGCAGTTGGCGTGGTGGTTAGGGGCGCTGGACTCCCATGTGGCTGACCATGGTTTGAGTCTCAGACCTGGCGACTTGCTTTCTCACTTTCCCTCTCTCTTTCTCTCATGTCCCTCTCTGGTCAAATTTAAATAAATAAAGTTAAATAATAAATAATTCTTAAAAAAGAAAAAACTTTCACTGATTAACAATAAATCGAATCAGGAACCTCAGACTGAAGCCCAAACGGATACAGTAGGGACTGCTTGCGGGTGTGGGTGCCCACTTCCTGTCAGTGATTCTAGCTAAGAAAATCACCATCAGGGCCAGCCCTGTGGCCTGGTGGTTAGGGGAGCTGGATCCTACGTGGCCAATCGCATGGTTCAAATCCTGGCCCCAGCGACTTGGAAAACACTGGGCACATGTGTGCACGCCCAAAATCCTGACGGGATGGAGGGTGGAGAGCGTGGTGTCACCCACCACGCCCCACCAAGGGTGTTCTCTCCTTCCCCTCCTCTCTCCATCCCTCCTTAATGACTGCACATGCCCTCTGGCAAAATTATTTCAAAAAGAAAATCTCCACCAGTCAGAAATGAAAATTTTGGCTCAAAGATAAGCATTTCTTTTATGCAAATAAAAACACATGTTGGGTAAGACTTCCCCCACCTGGATGAGTTCTCACCCCTTAGCAGCCAGGCAGCCACACCCGTTACCCTGTTACACCTGCCACACTGGGAGCAGCGAGTGAGGGTTAGGGACACAGGAGGCACCCCACAGGGGCAAGCTGAAGGGGACCACACAAGTCTGAGAAGGAATGCCTGGGTGGGAGTTCAGAGGCCAGGCTCCTAGGAAGAAACCAGATAGACCAGTTTCCTGGGCTGGAGGCCTCTCACCAGATGGTGCTGCTCTCCTTTCAGCTTCCCACCACTGGAGGTGCTTTTCAGAAGCAGCTGCCCACGGCCTCCTGGGGCGGCAGAGCGGGAGGGGCGCGAGGAGGGCCGCTGGCTGCCGCAGGGTTCCGGTCTGGCCCACAGGGTTACGTGTCCATAACCAAAGGGAGCACGGTCCGCTGCCAGCTCTCATCCCACCGCAGCTGCTCCGACTCCCGCAGGGTCTTGCGGAACTGGCTGAGCTTGCCCACAGGGTCAGGAAACTTCGAGAAGAGCATCTACAGAAATGAGGGCCAGAACTCACAGGGTGCCCCCAGCCCACCCAGGTCCTCCCCAGCTCAGCCCAGCCTCAGCACCCCCTGGCTGACCCCAGGCCTCGGCCAGCACCACCACCCTCAGGTCCCCTCTCCCCACCAGACATTCGAGACCCCTTGTGCCCCAAGTCCTAGCTGACAGCACTCTCGAGACGTCCCTACACTCCCCATCCCAAACGCCCTGCCCTGGTGGCCCTTCACCCCTGGCCTCAGGCAATTCCTTCCACCAAGAGCTCTGTCTGGCAGAGCTGTGTCTTTGCCAGACTCCGATTGGACAGCAAACTACAGCCTGCTGCTGTCCTGCCGCTGCCTGTCAGTAAATAAAGTTTTATTGGGACAGCCCCACCCCGTCATGTAGAGCTGGCCTGAGGCTTTCACGCTGGAACAGACTGGTTCTGCCGGAGACTGCCAGAAAGCCCATGTACTGTCACCCGGACCTTTACAGAAACTGTACACGATCTCTCCATCCGGCTCCAGGACGTTACCTCTGATAGCTAGGGACAGGCACCCTGTGCAGTCCGCTCACCCTCTGTGGCTGGTTCAAGACGCTCCCTCCGCCCCACTCTCACCTCTGACCCTGATGTGGCTCAGTTCACCTACATTCAAGGCCACAGATCCAGAGGGTAGACCATGTCCTAATCCTCCCCAAGTTCCTCAGTCCCGGTCCTCCAGACCCAAGCGCCCCCGCACCCTGCCCAGGGCAGCAGGAAGCAGGATCCTGGGAGGAGGCTCAGTGCCAGTCCCCACCAAACACCCGACCCTGGGGCAGGGGCAGAGGGTACCTGCAGCTGAGCCGCCAGCTCCTCCGAGTCCTCGAAGACCAGGCCATTTTCCCCATGCTTCACAAGTTCGTGTAAACTGCAGAGAGAACCACGGGGACCTGAGAGTGGCCTGGGGCAGAGGCCGGGCCCTGACATGCAGTCTGGCCCATCCCAGCGCACTCAGGCAAAGCTGCCCCAGGCATCTGCTTGGTTTCAGCGGGTCTTTTCTTAGATCTGGCATCTGAGCAGAAAAGCAGGCCTGGAAGGACACATGAAAACGCAGGCCAGCCTGAGCTGTGCCGTGGTGGTGAAGGCAGCTAGATCCCCTATGTCCAATGGTGCGGCTCGAGTCCCAGACCCAGCAGCCTGAAAAACACTCCAGGCACGTGTGTACGCACCCAACACCCTGAAATGAGAAGGGATTACAGTGTGACTATGCCCCATCGGGGGTGCTCACTAACTCGCGCCCTCTCCCTCCTCCTCCCCTCCTTATCTCTCTCTCTCTCTCTCTCTCTGCAAGTCCACATACCCTCTGGAAAATTAAAAAAAAAAAACAAGTAAAAGTCCAAACCAATTTGAAAGAGGAGCCAGAAAGGGGGTTTGGACCTGTCACACACATGTCCTTCTCAATGAGTGTGTGCTCCGTGGATCGCCCCACACCCTCCTCAGCACCCTGCCCGAGAAGCAAGGGAAAAGCAACCCCAAGAGGCCGGCTCGGCTGGAGGAGTACTCCGTGTGGCCAGGAAGTCTGCCACCCTGCCACCCCCCGGCAGGCCGCAGGTCCCCAGGCAGGCACCGTGCTGCCCGTGCCGGGGCTGTTCCTCAAACCTCCTCTAGCACCGCCCTCTCCAGGTGCCCACCTCTGCCAGGTAGGAGGGTCCCTGAGCTCACTCACTCAACGATTCAACTCCAGCGACAGGAGCTCATCCAAACGGGATGTGGAGGGAGAGACAAAACCAAGAAACTGCAGGCAAGCGGGCCAGTACCCATCCCGCCCCAGCACCCGTTCCGCCCCAGCACCCGTCCCAGGACGGCTCCGGTATTTAAGACACAGGCCGCAGCCTTCAGAAAGTTCACAGAACGCGCATACTGCAAAGGCTATACGTGGATTTCAATGTTTTTCTGTACCAAAATAAACTTGTGCTTATCTATTAATACTTTCCATAAACTTTCTCAAGTCTCTTTTATATATATATATTTTTTTTTTCCCCCCATTGAACACATGCTCTAAGTGGAAGCCAGCAGCTTACCGGGCTCAGCCTAACTCCCATAGCCACGAGGGCTCCTGCCTAGCCCCCAGGCCCTGCCGTTTGACCGAGAGGCAGCACCTTACCAGGCAGCCCTCCTGGGGTGTCCTGAGCAGCTCTGACACCCCTCACTCAGCTGCCGATCTGAAACCTGGCCCCAGGAAGACAGATCCCACCTACCATCCGAAGTTCACGGCGCACACAGGCAGACAGCACCCGAACATGTCCACCACCTTCATGGGTAGGTCCAGGCCGCTGGAGGACTTGTGCAGACAGACACCCAGGTCCGCTGACCCTGCAGGGAGAGGGCGGGCAGTCAGAACACTGGTCATCACCCCGTGAACCACACCCTACCAGGACCGGGCACGATACCCATATGGGACAGAAACTGGGTAACATCTCTGACAGCCCCAAACACAGGTGGCTTCAGGGGCCAGGAAGCCCAGTGTGGGGGACCCGGCAGACTCCGACTACGCCCCTGACCGCTGATTCACTCTGCAAACTGCCTGTGACACGGTACTTGTTTCTCAGTTGACTGCTTGTTCTCCCTAGCCACAATTTACTTTCAAAGAACTCCCAAGCACTCCTGCTTAAGGGGCACAGCATTTGTTTTGGGCTGTTAAGAATGTCTGGAACTAGATCGTGGTGATAGGGGCATGGCACCTGAAAATAATGACTACCACACAGCTGTATGCTTGAAAATGGCTAGAATGGGGCCCGCCAGTGGCATGCCAGGTAAGGTGGCTGGATCCCACATGGTCGAATACAAGGTTCGAGTTCTGCCTCTAGCAGGTTTCTGCCATAAGGCACATGCACTTGCTGGAAAGAGACACTAAGAGGGAAAAGGAGAAGTCACTCCCCCAGGGGGATGGCCACATCACAGTCCCTTCTCCTCCATTCTCCTCCTGGGATTTCGGGCATGCACACACATGCACCTAGCATGATTTTCAAGCTGCCAGGTCCAGCCATGTGGGAGTCCAGTGCCTTTACCACCATACCACCTGCTGGCCCCTAAATTGCATATTTTACTACAATTATTAAAAATTTAAAAATCCGTGGCAGAGCCGCAGCAGGGCAGGCAGTGGGGCACCACTGCACAATACTGGGGCCTGTGAGAGGCCTGAGTTCGGACCCCAGGGTCACCTTCTGGGAGGCATGGAGAGACTGTGAGGGATACCTCTCTCTCAAGCAAAGAATAAAATAAGGGAGGAGCTGGCACACCAGGAAACATCCTGGCCTCAGGAGCTCAGCCAGAGGTTGTTGGCAGGTGATCGCCACCCAGGGGGCCCTGGAGCAGGGCCAGTCCGGCCTGCTCTGTACAGCCCTTGAGCCAAGAACGGCTCTTCCATTTCTACAGGGCTGTGAGAACAAGGACCATGCCACAGAGACTGTCTGTCCCTTCTCAGACCTCTGTCCTCTGCCCAGGGCGTCCCCCTGGAAGCCTCCTGGAACCACTCACCCAGAAGCAAAGGGTAGTCCTCAGCCTCCAGCCACGGGGTGCAGACCTGGACACGCTGTAAGTGCTTCTGGCCGATGAGGCGGCTGTAATACTCCTTCAGTGGCCCTTTACCTGAAGGGAGAAAAGCAATCCCTGCCCTGCCCTCTGCGCCTGTTGCAGCCTCAGGCAAGGTGCTTCTGCGGGTCACAACAGCCATCTTCCCAAAGGCCCCAGCCCATGGCAGCCCTATCCCGCCCTTCTCAGGAGCCCGAGACCCCAGAGGACTGCAGACCCTGGACACTGAGGCACGGCCCTGCAACCAGCTACTCAGCTGGGGCTAGTGCCAGTCAGGCCCCAAGCACCAATCAGGTGATCCAGCTCCTCTGTGCAAGGGGGTGACACAGGGACTGCCCCTGCCCCCAGGTCCCCGGTCAGCTGGCATGTGTGGCAGCCTCCAAGCTGCCCTGGGAGCCCAAGAGGAGAGCTGGGAGCAGGACGGAGCAGCCAACCCAGAGCCCTCCTCCACCCATAGCTGTTCTGCCCTCTCGCTTTTTCCTGCAGCTTCGGCAGCGATGGCATGTGGGACGGTGGGTGCTTCTGCTCTCAAAATATCACTGAAAGAGCTCCGGGCCAGCTCGCTGCTGCGTCAGGAGCTGGAGCCCACACGGCTGACCGTGGTTTGAATGTCAGACCCAGAGCATAAAAATATGCAGGATGGGACCAGCAGTGGCATAATGGCTATGTCACTGGACTCCCACGTGGTCGACCAGGGTTCGAGTCCCGGACCCAGTGGCTTAAACTCACGCCAGGCACGTGTGCATGTGTGCCCAAGATCCAGAGACAAGAATGGAGAAGGGACTGCGACATGGCCATCCCTCCCGGGGGATGATTTCTCGCCTTCCGTCTCTCTTTCTTGCAAGCACACACGCTATAGCAAAAACATCTTTAAAAAAAATGCAGGGCACGTGTGTGCGTGTCCAGAATCCTAATGGAAGGAGGAATGGCGGGTTAGGGACTACGGTAAGACCACAACTGGGGGCAGGGCTTTCTCTCACTCTCTCTCCTCCTACCCTCACTGGTGAACACCTGTATCCTCCGGCAATAAAAAATAAATAAAAAAAAAAAAGTTTGATAACCACTGGGAAAGTGAAAGCTCGGGATCTCTGAGGCCGTGCCATCCAAGAGTCAAATCAGAAACCAGGACTCCACATCCTGCCATGAGGCCCTGAAAGCCCCAGTTTCCCATCCGTCAAGCAGGGAGTGAAAAGCCTTCCCGTGGAGGGCTGGGTGAGAGTCACGCAGGTAGTGTCACATGGAAGGCATGCAGTCAGGACTGTATGTCCTCCCCCAACTGTCCCCCGAATACAGGACATGGAGGGCCCTGGCCCCACGTGCTACCTGTTATCACACAGACCAGCGCAGGAAGGTCCTCTCCACCCAGGGTCAGCTGGTCAAACTCTGTTTAGAAAAAGAACAAACCAGTAACAGGACCTTCGCGGGTGAGTACGGGGAGGGGCGGGGGGCGTGGCTTCACCAAGCCGCTCTGGAAGGGGGGGGGGCGGGGGGGGGACGCGGCAGGC